TTCAATTGGTCCGATTGTGGTGTCAACATATCATTTCAATCATCGGTCGATGCCTATGAAATATTATCCAACTAATATACCGATTTAATATCATAGCTCGGATTTATTGGGTATCAAAACCCAACAAATAGAACATATTCTCAAATGCCCTTTCCCATAGTAACATAAGGAGGGTTAATCTATACTAAATTAGTTGACATCTTCAACACAAAACTACCCTTCTGCATCAGCTTCTCTGCCCCCATCGATGGATTCTAATTCTAAGAAAGGAAGCGAAAAGCCTTGGAAAGCAATAATTTCCTTCTTAAATAGTATCCAACAAAGGTACCTAACTATCTACTCAGGGCTTTCTAACTGGAACAGATACATTTCTGTGTTTTTGCTTTAGCTTATCAATGCTTTCAGATGACCCTTCAAGACGAATATAGTCGTACATGATTCCCCTCCAAGGGGTTTCACCTCTTGATTGAGTTAGAAAAATTATGTTTGTTCCAGTGAGAAGTAGGGATCCCGGTACAGTAATAGTGTGTAACCAGTAAGAATCATGAATGCCGTGCCTAGCAATTGAATTGTCTTTACCTATCAGACCTGTCGAAAAATGAGGAGTTTCTGTACTTGGATCGTTCGTCCGGACCTAAACATCCAATTAATATTGAATTAAAGAAAACACTTACCACTTACGAGTAGCAAAAAAATAAAAGTAATAGAAACAACAACGCAACACCAAACAGGGGCTTGAATGCAATCGAGAGCATACCTGCAATTCAGCATCAGTAGCCGATGCCAATGCCAGTTGAAGTGTGTAATTTCCTTGCTCATCAATATCATCGAGATCAAATAAAATTTTCCATGTGGTAGGAATGTAATTTTTATTTCCTGTTTTCCTACAATGGAATTTTAAAACTAGAACAATGAAAAATATTAACAATTAAGAATACAAAAATCTTTTTCCTATACCTGTTTACTCGAGCAAAATACCAATTTGTCTGATAGTTGCTGACACCAACTGTATAAACTAAATCTTGCTCAGGATACAGTTCTGTGTAGCGATCCCATAAACTGTACTGCCTAAACCTGTTGAGTTACATGTGATGTAAAGATGCTAGCGTACTTTTGGTATGAAAAATCAGTGTAAGTAAATCAAAGCCTCCATACATACTTTTCGCCATGGTTAATGTATAGTTGGTTCATAAGAGTCGGGTTTGGATCAGGCACAAAGTACTCAGCAGCAGTCCAATCAGGGATGCCAATTTCCCACAAGGTTGGACCGTTTCTTGGAGGATCATATACAAGATTGTACAATCTTTTTTTTGCTTCCTTTATATTTGTCATGAAACGGATCGCAAAATAATGGCAATAATGAAATAATGAAGAAGAAAACAAGAATTTACGTGAAAACCCAATTCGGGAAAAAATCTCGGGCAGAGCAGAACAATCAACTATAATCAATAGTTTTGTATTTA